ATGCAAAAATACATAAGATGTGCACTTTCTTTTCTATTTTTTCTATTTTCTTATTCTATTTTCTGTTTCTTTTCTCTGTATTTCTATCTATGCTTCTTTTCTTTTCTTTTCTATTCTTTCTTTCTTTTTTATCCTTTCTTTCTTTTCTATTCTTTCTTGCCTATCGGACTCGATTGAGGCATGGATTCGGAACCTTGGCCATGTGAGTGGGTACAGTCCTCATTTACAGGCACTTCTAATGGATTATACAAATTCTTCTTTCTGATTCTGAGGCCGCTCACTAAAGGCGGCGTGCATGTAGGTATGCTCTACTGGGTACAGTTCTCATCCACATGCACTTCTAACGAACTATACAAATTCTTCTTTCTTATTCTGAGGCCGCTCACTAAAGGGGGCGTGCATGTGGGGCTATTCTTCTCTGTCACTCACGGGTTCCCTATCGCAACAACATTCTCTTCTCTCCTCTTTTTATATTTCTTTAAGTAAAATTTCAAATTTGAATTATTCTTTAATTATATTTATTTAGATAATACTTCTACATGTAATTTCTTTTCTTTCTCTTTATTCTTTAATATTCTCATACATGTGTATGTGCATGGAAATATGCTCATTCTTTGCTATTCTTTCTAAATGCAAATGTGAGAATGTGAGAATGCATTATGGCATATAAAATATCATTAGAGAACTAGTATTTTGTACCAACAACATTCCCATACTTGAGATCAATCATAGATTATTAGACTATAAATAAACTAATAAATTGGAAGCACTTTTGAGGTAGTCATACTGTATAGGTCATATTCAAGAAGGCATATCTTGAGTTATACACGTTGAATTGCTATGATATTGTCTTATTTTAAAGCTTAGAGAAAGGGCTACAACTCTTATTTTTAGGTCTCAACCCAATTCGATCGGTAAGATTCCCAAAAATCACTCAGAAGGTCACGGATTTGACAGGGCAACCTTGGTAACTTTAAGGCTTTTCCATACCTATTTACCTCCACTTACTTCCTAGCCTTTCCTAACCATTCTCCCCTGTGAAAACATGTTAAAAGATCAATAATAGACAATCAAACTTCAATTCTCGTCTTTCTCTAACCCTTTCTTCATTAGGGTTTAGCCAACTCATGCATGCAATTTCTCTTTGGATTTTCATCAAACACTTCACGTGCACATGCAACTACCATGTGGGCTACACTTCCACAACTCTCTAATTCCACCAAATTGTGAGCCAAAAACTCAATAATTATAGCATCAAACCTGTCCATTTTCAACATTTCTGTACACTTCAAAAATTCCATCACTAATTCTTCCATAAATTCACCAAATCATCACATAACCATACACTACTTCTCATGGCTGGAAATTACACATAAAAAACAGCTAATAATTCTCTCATGTCATCACATACAAACATGCAATAGTTCATTCAACACAAGTCTTGCTCAAATTAACGTTCAAACTAGGTTTACTTACCTTGAATATGTTAGATCACTTCCCTTTTTCTCTAAATTTCTTCCTCTTGGACCTAGATCATATAAAAACCATAAGAATTTAAAAATTTAAAGTTTATCACACTCCTTTCTACTAGAATCTTACCTTGGGATGCTTTAGGATTGAAAATCTATTAAAATCCAAGCCAAATCCTATGATTTCCCTTTGAAATTTAGTGAAGGAAATTGAGAGAAAATGGGGAGAATATGGCGTGAACAAGGGCTGCATTTTGGTTAGGGTTTCTTCAAATGAAACCTTATATCAAATAATATAAGCATGTATTCCCATTTTGCCCTTGCACTTTCTATGAAATTTCATCTATGTTCCTTAGTCAATTACAATAATGTCCTTATTTCCATTTCATTCTCCATGTAATTCTACTTCTTTTCACTCCCCACACTTTCAACTAATTAAGAGTGAAATGACGATTTTACCCCTAGTGAAGTTTTAAGGAATTTTCTTCACACTTGTTCAAGATAACTCTAGTAAAATTCAACTAAGGGTATTAGGGCATAAATCAAGTTACGTGCCTTGATGTGGGCGTTACAGGATTGTTGACATACCTTCAAAGCATTGACACATGGAAAACATTGTGCACTTTATCCATATTTGGTGGTAACGCCAACTTGTACACTACTTTTCCTACTTGGTGCAATACTTCAAAGGGGCCAATGTATCTAGGGGCAAGTTTTCCTTTTCCACCAAAACACATTACCCGCTTGTAGGGGGAAATTTTAATAAACACTTTATCATCCACTTCAAATATTACATCCTTTCTCTTTAAATCCGCATAGCTCTTTTGTCTGTCTTGAGCTTGCTTCATTCTATTTCTGATCAACTTAATGTCTTCTATCATTTTCTGAGTTATCTCCGGTCCAAGAGCTGTATTCAAAGCATCTTTCTCTCCTACTTCATTTCAATGCAGCGGGGATCTACATCGTCTACAATATAAAGCTTCATAAGGAGCCATCTTAATTGTAGACTGATAACTGTTGTTATAAGTAAACTCTATCAATGGTAGCATCTCATGCCAAGTCATTTTATAATCCATACAACACGCTCTCAACATGTCCTCAAGCACCTGATTGGTTCTCTCAGTCTGATTAGTTCTCTCAGTTTGGCCATTTGTCTATGGGTGGTAAGTTGTACTAAATGCTAACCTAGTACCTAAGTTTCTCTGTAGACTAGTCCAAAAAGCTAAAACAAATCTGGAATCTCTATCTGATACTGTTTTCTTGGGCACCCCATGCAATCTAACTATCTCTCGGATGTAGATTTGGGCCAACTGATCGGAGCTGGTATTGTCTTTTACTGGAAGAAAATGCGCTGATTTGGTTAATCTATCTATTATCACCCATAGTGCATTATAACCCTTTTGAACTCTTGGAAGGCTTGTAATGAAATCCATTGATATATTTTCCCATTTCCATTCAGGAATGCTCAACATCCTGGGGAATGCATATAGGACTCCTAAAACTGAGCATGTCAGCTGAAATTTTATACTTTGATATCTTGCCTTCCAACACTCATAGACTCATTTTTTGACACCACTCGTCGACAACTTGCTTTTCTTTAATCTCTTCCAATAAAGTAGATTGAATTTCTAACTTGGCAATTCTTCCTGGTATCATCTCTATCTGTTCTTTGAGAAATTTTTCCATTAATTCTTTTTGCACTGTGAGTTGAGACAAAAAGGCTTTTTCTACTCAAGGCATCAGTTACCACATTGGCTTTTCCAGGTTGATACTGGATTTCACAATCATAATCTTTTACTAGCTCCAATCATCTCTTTTGTCTCATATTCACTCTTTTTGGGTAAAGAAATACTTCAAACTTTTATGATCGGTATAAATATTACTCTTTGCCCCATACAAATAATGCCTCCATATCTTTAATGCAAAAACTACAGTTGCTAACTCTAAATCATGCGTAGGGTATCTTGTCTCATACTCTTTCAACTGTCGAGAAGCATAAGCTATTACCTTACCCAACTGGATCCACACAGAACCAAGTCCCTTAAGTGAGGCATCTGTATAAATATCATAGTCTACACCCTCCTGTGGTAACACCAGAATAGGAGCTGTGGTGAGTCTTCCTTTTAACTCTTGGAAACTCTCTTCACGTGCATCTGACGATATGAAAGGAGTTCCCTGTTTGGTAAGAGTTGTAAGCGGCTTAGCCAACTGAGCAAATCCTGCTATAAACTACCTGTAAGAACCTATAAGCCCCAAGAAACTTCTAACCTCTTTCACTGTCTCTGGTCTTTGCCACTCTAGGATTGCCTTTACCTTACTGGGATCTACTGACACACCTTCTTTTGAGATAGTGTGGCCTAAGAAGATAACTTGATCTAGCCAGAACTCACATTTAGAAAATTTGGCATACAACTTCTTATCTCTCAATCGCTATAGCACAAATCTCAGATGCTCTTCTCTTGTCTTAGAATAAATTAGGATGTCATCAATAAACACCACTATAAATCGATCAAGACAGTCATGAAACACCCAGTTTATTAAATCCATAAAGACTGCTTGGGCATTGGTTAACCTGAAAGGCATCACTACAAACTCATAATGCCCATATATGGTCCGAAATGCAGTCTTGGCTATATCTTGTTCTGCAACTCTTACTTGATGATAACCCGACCTTAAATCAATCTTTGAAAACACTGTTGCTCCTTTAAGTTGATCAAATAAATCATCTATGCGAGGTAACAGGTACTTATTCTTCACTGTCATTTTATTCAACTCTCTGTAATCTATGCACATCCGTAGTGACCCATCTTTCTTTTTCACAAATAGAATCGGAGCACCCCAGGGAGAATGGCTGGGTCGAATAAAACCCCTGTCTAGAAGTTCTTGAAGCTGCTTCTTCAATTCATGGACTCAGTTGGGGCCATACGATAAGGGGCTTTAGAAATCGGTGTTGTCCTTGGTACCAACTCAATACGAAATTCCATTTCTCTTTCTGGAGGTAAATCTGGTAAATCATCCGAAAATACATCTAGAAACTCCCGGACTGCTGGCATATTCTGGATCTCTGATCGAGGGACATCACTACTTTGCACCACATGGGCAATATACCCGAAGTACCTTTTTCTTAACATTTTTCTGGCTTTTACACTGCTAATTAACATACTAAGTTGATGGCCCTCTCCGAAATTGAAGTTATCGCCGTCATCAAGATTAAATTTTGCTTTCTTCTTTCGGCAATCAATTTTACTCCATATCTCCCTAGGAAATCCATGCCTAATATAACATCAAAGTTAGGCATATCAAATACAATCAAATCCACTGTTAACATCCTTCTATGGATCACTACGGACTCCCCTAAAATCATCTCCTAAGTTACCACACTATCACCGCAGGGCAATTCTATCTTAATAGGCTGATCTATTGTAATAGGTTTCAAACCCAATCTCTCTATAATCCCATGTGTAATGAATGAGTGTGTGGCTCTAGAATCAACTAATGCATAAAGGGGAACTGAATGAAATAATAACTTACCAGTAATTGCAGATGGGTTGGCCTCAGCTTTACTCTGTGCAACTGTAAATACCTGAGCATTAGCACCTCTGGATGTCTGTGCTGTAGGTGTAAGAGCGGCCTTACAGTCTTTCATCATATGTCCGGGTTGTTGGCATCTAAAACACACACCCTTGGACACTCTCTCGGATGATGTTTCCCACATTTCTAACATTGGGGAAACTCAAAAGTCCTCGGTCATTTATTGTTCCCATCCCTCCTGTTCTTCTTTGACTGAAATCTTTTCTTATTCTTCCCTTCTCTATTGTTAGGGGTATCAAATCTATCCCCTTGTGGAGCGGGAGGTGGAATACTGGGCATTGCTACTGATGGAGTCAATGGAGTTAACTTATTTACAAATACTTTAGCTCGTAAAGCTCGCTTCAAAGCCTCACTATAAGTCAAAGGGGGTTGGGCACCTGCCATCACATCTCGAGCTATTTTTGGATTCAGCCCATGCACGAACTTGTTCATCCTTAATTCTGGTGTGCTCACTATACCAGGTGCAAACCTCGCCAAGGAATTAAATCTAATGGAGTATTCTTTCACTGAACCGATTCCTTATCGTAGGCTAATAAATTCCTTTATCTTTTCATGCATCCTATCAACTGTCCTAAATTCTGCCTTCAAAAGTCGTATGAAATCTCCCCAGGTCATAGTGGCTACATCATGAGTATCCTCCATCAGCTCCTACCATATTCGGGCATCACTCTTAAACAAAAAACTAGCATATTGGATCTTCTCCCAATCTGTCATGGGAAAAAGTGTTGTCGTGCACTCCACAGATCTAATCCATTCTTTTGCCACTACTAGGTCAGTCGTACCTCTAAATTCTGACGGTTGATGCTGACTAGGTAACCCATAAATAGGCTCAAGATGACTCTGCACTATCAGAGGTGCCGACCTTTCTTTCTCATCTCTAGTGGTTGGCACTACTGGTAGACAAAACGGACTAAAGCTGCCTTTATATAGTTTTTAGACAAAATGGCAAACTTGTAAATACGGGTAGTCGAAATTAGGGTTGGAAATGCAACATTTTTACATTCTGTGTGATTTGCGCTGCAACAAGGTTTAGTTGTGTCATGGCATAGTTTAATTGTGCCCCAGCTCATTTTAATTGCTCCCCGATGCATTTCCACTGTGGGTCAGTTGAATTACACAGCGGCGAGTTTACGCTATGGCGCAAAGTTAGAATTCCAAACTTTTACTTCTGGCCTTGATTTATCCGCACTCAAATGAGTCCAAGATGTCTGAACACCAAACAAACATGAATAATCCATTCTTTTACACCTGAATACCTGAAAAACACACACAACCTGTGATTCAGGAAAACAACGAAACATGCAAGAATTCACATCATAAATCATGCATTAAACCTTAAATTCCTTACAGTTTCACCCCTAAATAACTAAATAAATCTGCATTTCCAACATGCAATGGGGACCATGTTCAGTTGAAGCAAACTTACTATAGTAAACACGTTCCAAATCAATAAAAAGTCAAAATTAAGTACAACAAGTGTAAACAACTCCCTGTTCTACAAGATTCTAACTCCACCCTCTGATTACTCCAACATTCTGAGTCCAAGAAACCACCTGGAGAGCTCAAGCTCTACTCAAGCGTCAATGGCCAAAATCTACTTTCAGCTCCATAGCTTGAACTACACTCAAGCTTTCAACAAAGGAACCATGTTCCAACAAAAACACTCAAGCAAGATAAGAGAATGTTAAAGAACAAACAAAGGGAACCTAAGTAAATAAACTCTATAAAAAAATTCAAAGAGCATAATAATTGAAACATCAGGTTCAAAGAAAATGCAAAGAAGAAAAGATATTACATAATCTTTGCTCCACAAATCCCTAGTACACTCAGCCGACAATGTCTAACACATGTTGGACTTTTTAGGAAAGATTCCAACAACTTTGTTGGACCACTTTTGAAAAAGCATAAACAACTTTTCTGGATCAGTTCTGAAAAATCAGACATCTATAAATGGACCTTTCATGTGCCCAAATTTCAGAAATGGAAAATAGTCTAACAAGTAATGGAAACATGACACTTGTACTAAGAGATTTGATTAAGAAAATGTTTACACAACTGAGTAATATGTGCACACATATTTGCAATATGTTCAGACAAAGGAAATATGCACACATGTATGCAATATGTTACGACATGTGTAAACTACAAACATGATTGTGCCTTAAACAACTTAATGTACAAACATCAGAAAATAATATGCACACATAACTTCATAAGTTAACAAAAAACCATATAAGTTCAAAGAAGAAATTTTGTTTATTCATTTTTAATTAACATTTCAATAAAATTTATTACAATCAAAATTTTAAAATAATAACAATAACAATATTGATAATAATTTATAAAAAAAAAAAAAAAAAAAAAAAATTGGCATCATAAGGATCAACTTGCATACTTTAAACAATAGTAATAATGTCACCGTAATTAGATTATATTAAAACAAAAGAAAGTAAATTTAACAGTGTATCACTAATGTACATATGTAAAACAGGGAACAAGTAAACAAAAATATTCACGGGTTGAGGCCCTGTATCTTATAATCATGTTTTCGTGGACTAACCTATATTGTTTCAAAGATATTAATACTTGGGAAGTGATTTTCAGCCAGCATCTTCTATTTTAAGTGAGGATGTAAGCGTAATAAAATAAATTATTCTTCTTCCTCTATACTTTTATTTTAAAGCTTTATATTTGTAATACCCTTTTTCTAAAGCGCTCTGGCATGCTGTTCAAGTTAAGGGTAATTTAGAGCCCCGGCTGGTGATTGGGGCACTCTTATTTCTTAGTGTGCTCATAGTTTCAAAGGCAAGAATATTCTTACGGTTATTGTTTGGGGCTCTAGTTTATGCTATTTGGCAAGAGCAAAATATTAGGCTGTTCAAGCATTAGTGGAGGAGCTGAAGTAGAGTAGAGAGGATGATATTTGAAACTGTTCATCTTAGGCTAAGCAGCCAGACCCTCAAGGACAGTTATAGAGTCCGGCAAGTTGTTAGGGCTTGGAATCTGCCTTGGAGTTGCATAAGAGTTGATGCTTGAGTTTTTTGATCTTATGGAGTGGAGGTTTTGAGAGGGAGTGAATGATGAGGGGTAGTTACTGGTGGCTCTTATTGGGTTACCAGGGGGCAGGTGTTGGGCAAAGAGAAGAAGTTTAGGCCCACGATTTGGATGAAAGTTTATAATATATATATATAGTAGGCCTTTTGTTACTGGCCTTACAGGTCCTATGTTTTTTCAAAAGAGTCTTGGAGGCAGTTGTGTTGATGTTATGCAATCCTAATTTGAGTATAGGAGAGGACTGCATCCTTTCCCTTCTCAGTGACAACATGTGGAAGATGACTGGTATTTTGAGGCGATTGTCTTATGTGGATAATCTCTTGGGTGCTTGCTGCTAGCTGTCTTGTGTTTTCTCTAGGTGTTGGTCATGGTGCAGGAGATTGGCAGGTGGCATGGTATTTCGTTTAGGATACTGGTGCATGGTTTTTTGCTTTTGCCTTGATTGTGTTGTGTTTGGTGGGTAGGGACAATGGCGGACCCAGGATTTTTGCTGAGGGAGGCCTTTGCGGTTCTACCATTGTTGCCAAACAATTAGTGAAAACTTTAAAACCAAACCTTAAGCAAAGAGAATAGTACAATATCAAGAACTTGAAAGAAAAGAATGCAATAACACATTACTTTCCTACTCTTTTCTACTCGAATAATTCTATGAGAAGCAAATTTTTGAGTAAATGTCAACCAAAACTTAAATCAAGTCAACGTTGCATTGACTTTTAATGTGAATTAATAAAAATAAAGGGGGAATTTTCTTGGTATAAACATAGATAATGAATCAAATTTCTTTAATAATTTTGAGCAGCTGAACGGTGACGTTTGAAATGTAGGAAAGTGGTGGGTGAAGGGTGAAGAATAACGTCCTTTAAAATATAGTTAAAGTTTTAATTTAGGAAAGTAGGAACATTCTTAGACCCAAAACACAAAATAAACTCACAAGATCCATGTCTTTATCCCTCAAATTAGAATAAAAAACCTCCAAAAAACAAGCATGATTCAACCCTAAAATAAACTAAATTGAAATAAGCAATACACATACCTAAAACTGATAAAACAGAAAATAGAGCTAATTGTGGCACATTGAGTAGTGAAAGCTTTAACAATTTTAGTCTTCAAAAGTTTTAAGAGTGAATATCATGAGAAAGAGAAAGAGAGGACGAGAGAGAAAAAAGTTTTACGGATAAAATCATAAAAAACAAGCGGAGCCGTGGAGAAGAAGAGTGGAGAGAGTTTTGAACTTATAATATGGGTTTGGAATATATATACTAATAAAAAGTTTTTTGTGGGCTTGGATATATGTGTAATAGTTTTTATTTTCAATAAATTTGAGAATAGGTCTGGGTATATATATTTATAGCACATTTTGGTAGGCCTATATATTAGTAATTTTTTTTTTTTTTTTTTTTAAATATGAGGCCTACCCTCAAAGCGGCTAGATCCGCCCTTAGGCAGGGACTGTGTTGGTTCTAGGAACGGTCTGCCAAGGCATCTTTGACAGACTAGCTAGTAGCCTCTTCAATACATATGGTTGCTTTGTGGCGAGTTTAGACTTGTGGGGACTCCTGTTAAACCTTACACTTTGGTTCACTAGGATCTACATAAGGATTCTTTGGCACTTCGGAAGTGATTGCATCCATTGTTTGCATTAGATTTCTTTTGCATCAAGGGTTGGCATTTCGTGGTCATGATGAAACTGAAGACTCAAAGAATCAAGGTAACCTTTTCAGACTTCTTCATTTTCTAGCTCAGCATAATGAACATTTCAAGAGTGTTATTTTGAAGAATGCACCTGGGAATCTTAAATTGATAGCACCAGTGATTCAGAAAGATATTGTGAATGCTGCGGCAAATGAAACCACAAAAGCTATCATTAGTGATCTTGGAGATGACATATTTTCAGTTTTGATTGATGAGTCTCATGGTGTGTCAATTAAAGAACAAATGGCTATTGCCATACGTTATGTAGATAAAAAGGGTTATGTACTTGAGCTATTTCTTGTCATTGTACATGTTAGTGACACAACTGTAGTATCACTTAAGATGGCTCTTGAGTTATTATTTTGTAAGCATGGATTGAGTTTGTCAAGATTACGTAGACAAGGTTATGATGGGGCAAGTAATATGCACGGAGAATTTAGTGGTTTGAAAAGTTTGATTTTGAGGGAGAATGAATATGCTTATTATGTTCATTGTTTTGCTCACCAACTTCAATTGACACTAGTAGCCGTTGCAAAAAATCACATTTCTGTTGCTTCATTTTTTAGCTTGGTTACTAATTTGATAAATGTTGTTGGAGGTTCATGCAAGCGTCGAGACATGCTTCGAAAGAGCCAAGTTAATAAACTTGTTGAAGCACTAGAAATTGGTGAAGTTAGTAAGGGACGAGGTTTGAATCAAGAGACAAGTCTAAAACGAGATGGTGACACACGTTGGGGCTCGTATTATTATACATTGATCAACTTAATCCTTTTGTTATCCTCTGTGGGCGATGTGCTTAAGGTTATTGAAGAAGATGGTTTAAATCCTGAATAAAGGGGTGCAACATGTAATCTATTAGATTTAATCTATTCCTTTGGTTTTGCATTTAACTTACGTATGATGAAAAGTATATTGGCAATTACTAATGAGCTGTCGCAAGCACTGTAGAGAAAAGATCAAGACATTGCAAATGCTATGGCTCTAGTCAAAGTTTCCAAACAACGATTACAATTGTTGAGAGATGAAGGATGGGAATCTTTGTTGAGTTTAGTTTCTTCATTTTGCCAAAAGCATGATATTGCCATTCTGAATATGGATGATATGTTTGCAATTTGAGGGTGGCCACGACGAAGAGTTGAGCACATGATAAATTTGCATCACTATCGAGTTGAATTGTTTTATATTGTGATAGATATGCAACTTCAAGAACTTAACACTCATTTCACTAAGGTTAGTACTGAGCTACTTCTTTGTATGGCATGTTTAGATCCAAGTAATTCATTCTCTGCTTTTGACAAGCATAAGTTGATATGTTTTGCCTAATTTTATCCATCTGATTTTTCTACATTTGAGTTGATGGTACTTGAGAACTAGGCTGAGACTTATGTTATTGACATGCATTCTTGAGATGAATTTGCTAAATTACAAGGAATTGGTGGTTTGGCTAAGAATTTAGTTTGGTTTAAAAAAGACATTTTGTATCCATTGGTGTATAAGCTTGTGAAACTTGCATTGGTTTTACTAGTTGCGACTGCGACCGTTGAAAGGGCTTTTTTTGCACTGAATCTTGTGAAAAGTCGGTTATGCAATCAAATGGGGGATCAATAGATGAATGATTGTTTGGTCACCTCTATTAAGAAAGATGTATTTGATACAACCGATGATGAGATGATTATCCGATGTTTTCAGAATATGAAAACTCGTCGAGGACAATTGTAGAAAAATTGTGTTTTTTGAAGATATGTATTTGTATTTTGTAACTTTTTGTTGAAGCTCATCCTAATGAAAAAAAGTATGGTTATGATTGGTTAAAATTTTTTTTTGTTTATTTTTTGCCCCCATCGAATGAAATTCCTGGATCTGCCATTGGCACTTTCGTCTACTTAGGCTAGGGCTATTGGATGTGGTGTTTTTGACTCTGGTTGTGCTGGGCTTTCTATTTTTGGTGCTTGGCTCATTGTGTTTAACTTATGAAGACTGATTTGTAGGCTGGTCTGTCATGTACAAACTGTGTAGCTGCTGTTTTTGTTTGTCCAGTTGGCCTTTTTTTTTTTTTTTTTTTTTTTTTTTTTTTTTTTTTTTTTTTTTTTTTTATTTCTGGTCATATAGTATAGACTTCTTAGAGGCTAGGTTGCTTGCTTTGATGATTGTAAATCTGTGCGTCTTTTTTTTTTATTCTTTTTGCTTTATCGCTTAGGCTTGTCCAAGGATCTTGACTTTATAAGGGATCTTTCTTGGGGTCTCATTCTTTCATTCTTTATAAATTACCTTTAACTTAAAAAAAAAAAAAAAATTTAATTAGGTTAATGAGAATTCATGATTTCATAAGTAAATTAAATTTCATTGTAATTATCAAAATTATTTTCCTTTGTAAAAGGACTAATTTTTAGATCGCATATATTTCAAAACCTAAAGCAAATGCAAGTAAATTTGATAAATTTTTTTTCAATTCTTTATTAGTTTCTTTCTTTCTTTCTTTCTTCTTCGTCTTCATCTTCATCTTCTTCTGCTTCTTTTTCTTTTCTTTTTAAGTTTTATATTTTGGAAAACTACAACGAACTACATTGTTTATTTTTACTTTTTTTTTTCCTCTTTAGTGTTGATAAAATTGAAGATTTTATAGAAATAAAGGATATTAAAAGATTTCAGATCTTGAGCAAAATAATTAACATTTTTATAAATTCTTCCTGAAATGTTTTAATATATATAAGAACCATTGTTAATATATATATATATATTAAATGGGGGGGGGGGGGGGGGGGGGGGGGGGGGGGGGGGGGCGCGGGGCGAGAGGGGTGGGTGGGTGTTGGGGTGTTGGGGGCGCGCGGGCGGTACTGGGTTTTACTGAGGACATAAAAGTTGGGGAAAAATATTGTTTGACGAAAATTTAGTCTAACCCAGTTTGATGAACCCTAACGAGAAAGACCATGATAAATAGGTTTAAAATATTGGAATAAAATGTCCAAAATTAATAAAACAAAGCAAATGGGCATACTAAAGCTTTGAGCCACCTAAAACCTAAACTCAAGAAGTTTGCATGATGGGAATGAGGAGGCCTAACTATGTTAATATACGGAGCAGCTGGTAAGGCGAGCGACACTAAAAGAGATATAATTTCCAACCATGTTATACTCATCTTCTATTCTAAGTTAACTTTTCACTATCTAAATTATAGGCTAGTGCCTTCTCCACCACTTTGACATTTGGCATTAGCCATCATCTCAAGCACCTTTATGCCGCAAAGATCACAACAATATAGCTCTAAAAATCCTTCTAGTGTTTAGGGGGAAACGTCTATATAAATTCCTAAGGGGTTTTGTAGATGTAAACTCCAAATCATATGCAAAATCCCAATTTTTCTTCTATTTTTATCTTAGTATTTGATTTAAGCATTGGAGGAGTTATGTTGACAAAACCAATAGCCTATCCTATCGACATCCCCTAATGATAACTGTTGTGTGTGATTTTTTCACTAAGCTCGGAGTATTGTGAGGTTATAGCCCAATCCAGAACCAGCTCGACTCTACAGATTGTTTGACCCAACACAAGCTCGTCAACTTATAGCTCGACCTAGCACAAGCTAGTTGCGACCAATCCTTACAGTTGTCCAACCAATTCACAGATAACTTCAGATCCCGGCTATCTCGAGAAGGATCAGATCGAGAACAATCTTTACGCAATCACAACACCTAATTGCGAGAATATCGGAGTTGTATTTCAAACTTAAATGTAATCCCTTTTTTTTTGCTCTTTCCTTTGTATAAATTTTGTATATAAACCCTCTCCAATGACGAGAAAAGGGTTAGCAAATATTTCTAGGACTGTCATTGTAAGCTCTCGCGGCGAATACAAGAACAGTGGACGTAGGCTTAAGAGTTTAACTCGCCGAACCACTTTAAAAATCCCTTTGCCATTTACTTTACTGTACTTATTATTTACTCATTATTGGTTATCTGTAATCTCACACACACATCAGTTGTGATCCCATCAAGGTCGATCAGATCACCCTAGTTGGTGTAATTCTTACATCAACATTTTGGCGCTAGAAGGAGGACCTCTACCAAAATCCCAGAAATTCCGATAAGAAATCCCAATGACCTAAACACTCTAGGCCCACAATGGTGCATAGAAGATCGAAAACCACCACCGAAAAGCACAACAATGCGAAAAACACTAGAAAGCGCTACAATGTGGAGACCACCCACTAAGAGGTACAACAAGATGACATTTGGGTGTCAACCACTAGTGTCGCCAACTTAACAGACCACGAATAACTAGGGAGTAGGGACATAAAACCCCGAGAACGGTCAAGTGGTGGAAATGATTAGAATAATGGTTGCACAAGCAGTGCAACTGAACGTGGCTGAGCTAAGAAATCAGCAATCAACCACACAGAACCTTGACCAACCACACTTTATCGATATCACCTCAATAGGTTGAAATTCGATCGGGGACCAGTCTGGCTCATCAGCACCAAGGGGCGATCGGCATCCCCGATGTCACATTTGACCTGCTTAGCAATATCCCTTACGTTAGCGTGCCAATTTTAACCCACGCCCAAGACAAGCTCGATCCTCGCAAGCTCATGAGATGAGTCATGTGAGCAAATCTGGCAATGACCGTGTAACGCCCCACTTGAGGTACGTATTTGTTGTTTCTTCTTTCGCTCTTATTTGAGTTGGTTTTTGGTAATATTGTTTGATTGAGTGTTGTGTTGAATGCTTGCCCTGAAATTGGTTGAAAATAGAAGAAGTTTAGTGTTTCAGTTTTCGCCGGGGCGAAGAAGAATCTTCGCCGCGGCGAAGAGGTGTTGTAGCCACGGGGAAACTTGCTGGACAGTTTCGCCGCGGCGACAGAAGTTTCTTCGCCGCGGCGACAGGCCGATTAAAATGTTTGTTAAGTTTTAGATATTTTCTTCCCTAAGGGCTATTTGACCATTCTACCCCTAATTAGCAGGAAAAGTGGGGAGTTAATTGTAAGGATTTTTCATGGAGATGATGTTGATATGGGGGTGTGGTTGTAATGAATCAAAGGATATAGATGGAATTCCCAAAGAAGAGTAAGGGCAAAATGGGAATGCTTTGGTATAAATTTCATTAAAAGGAATTAAGAGTAAGCAAACCCCTCATTCTTCTTCTCAAAAACGCAACTCTCCATCCTTGATCCTCTCAACTTTTCTTTCTTTTGATCAAAGAGTTCTAAGGGGTTTTTGAAGTGATTTGGGGTAGAAAATCAACCTAAGGCTTTCTAAGGTAAGGATTCCTACTTAAGTTGTGTGATTTGTGAGTTTTAGTTTATATTGAAGTTTGAGGGTTTTTGTTCTTTTGGTTAAGAGTAGAGAAAAAGTCAAGCAAAACAAGTGAAAGGAAGAGTTGGTGAAGTCTCTCCATAACAAGGTAAGTAAATCCTAACCCAAGTTGAGATTTAAGAATTTTCTTGATTAGGGTTTTAATAGAAATGATGTATGTATGTGATATACATGTGATATGCCATGTATGGGAGTTTAAATAGAGATTTCTGTGCTTTGTGAATGTTAATACCTTGCAAATATGAGGAATGAGTTGTTGGGTTGGAAAGGTAGTTTGAGATGGAATTGAAGGGGTGTCATGGATCCCTTTTTGGAAGTGCTTTCTTTGACAGGTTTTATGGTTATGTGAAGGGGTTTTTCCCCATTTTGGATGGTTAGAGAAAGATTTAGAATCATTGCTATAGTAGAGTTTTATGATGCACTTGAGTTGTTTGATGAAATGCCTAGTAGAGGTTTGAGTATGAGTAGTGAACCTTAATTCTTGCAACATTGCATGTTGGCATTTCATAAGTGCGTTAGTAGTGAT